CCTTTTTTTCTATTCTCTTAAGCAAATCCTTAACTTCTCGCCTTTTAGCTGTCTTTTCAAAGGTAGAACAGATGGAGGAAGCTTTGTTTCGTGCATGACTCAATATATTTTGTTGATCGCTGATTGATTTAACTTTTCTTTTCATATTGTCAAGAATTGATTCTCTATCTTCAAAATTTATAACAGCACTTTCCAATATGTATTGGAGACAAGCAACTATCGACCATTCTTTATATGGTCTTGTCTTGAAGAAGGAGGAGATGGCCTTCAAGTACAAGGAAAGAAAAAGATTAGTGTGCGAGCATGTTCATTTCAACAATAGTTTATTTAAAAAGATTTAATCTAATAATAAAACATCGACAAGATGATATTCTGGTCAAGAACCCGCTAACGTGGTATACACTGGAGGAATACAGCAGTGCTGAAGCGTCCAGGTAGGTCGCTAAGGAGTGTCTTTCCAAACATCGGCCATATGTGGTCCTCGAGAATATAGAGGGCATATGGGCGTAGGATATCATCGAGTCCGGCTTTCTGGTAAAGAACCCACTAGCATGGTATACACTGGAGGAGAACAGCAAGTGCTGAGACGTCCAGGTAGGTGTCTAATGAGTGTCTTTCCAAGCATCGGCCATATGTAATCCACAGCAAGATGGTGGGCATATGGGCGTAGGACCGTTTGATGTAGTAATATAAAATAAAATAGGAACATGTTACTAACTTTGATTATCTTTGTCATGAGAGAGAGAGTATGGACACGTCAAATAAAAACACGGTTTTTGAAAAATTTATTGAAATGTGTCAGATCATGTGATGTCTGATTACGATCGACAAATATTTGATGTCTCGTGAACGCACATCACACATCTACATTCTCAAAAAAAATACGAGCCCGATATGGCCAAAATTTATTAATAATTATATAAGTGAGCGGAGAAGCGAGAGAAATATATGATGCTATCAAAGAGGGAAGGAGTACGCGGATCCTAGGCCATTTCTACGCCACTCTAACTCGCACTGACTATGCTAAAGATCATTTTCCGCAAGAGAACTCCAAAATTAAGAAATTTCGAATCTATATTATAATTAAGGGAGTATTGGTAATTTAAGGTAAAAAAAAATAACACAGTATTTCCAATTCACACTTACCGACATACTTAGTTTTCGCAATATTACATTCTAGAAATTGATTGCTTAATTTTTTCTGCGGAAAGATACTGCGCAAAGTTTCAAGAATTCGGTACGTGAAGATGCTTATGATTCCATCGCTGAAGATATACTGCGCCAGACTTTTGCTGTGCCGTTGCATGTGATGAGAATCATGTGAGAAATTTCACTGCGTCTATTGGTACTTGTGATGATGATCAGAGATTTTCTCGGCGAAGATCAAACCGCCGATATACAGTATAGTAAAAAGAGTATTATGTCCGGTTTTTGTTTTGGAACATCTGTAGAGGCGGGAAAATCGATTAACATCGTGATGACATGATTCAAGAAGCTAGCCGAGCAATAAACCAATTTACTTTATTATTATTTTGCGGAAAATACAAGTTCGTTTGATTAGAGATATTGTTGATGTAAATAATGGTAAGATTTGATCAGTTTGAATTTTCCGTTCGATTTTTGCTTTTCTTGCGCGAGGCAGATAAAAGGATTCGCTAACCGGGACATCACCTTTTTATACAATTTGCAGGATCGATCTTTGA